ATGAATAGCGAGAAAGTTGTAATTAGTGCAAATGAAGGAAAAAGCAGATCTGATCAGAAAGATGGGAATGGAGTGTAATTATTGAGGACGTGACACACAGCTTCCTGCCGTGCGACCCTGGGATCGTGGCCGATTCCCACTAAGTCCTCACAGTCATGCAGGTGGATGGGCTGTGCCCAACCACCTTCAGCAGAGAAATGGAGGCTCAGAGGCACGGAGGGATTGGGTTCCAGGTTTCAAGCCCGTGGTCCTTGGCTAAGTGGATTCTGAGCTCCTGGTGAGGCAGACCATCATGGCGGCAGGATTCTAGGCAGAGGCTGCTCACCACATGGTGGGCAGGAAGTTGCCAGGGCAAGATGTAGCCTCTAGGGCCTGGCCCCCAGTGGCCTGCGTCCTCTAGCCAGGCCCCTCCTGCCAGCTCACCCCTCCCCGTGGGCGATGGCATCATGCAGATGGATTCATCAAAAGGGTTCATCCATTAGCCGCAGGGCCTCAAGACCCAGCCTCGCCCACCAGCCGGGCAGCCGCACCCCTGCAGAGGGGACATTTCACATTGATGTGACTTAATGAAGCACACACTCCATGGAGGCTGTGAGTGTCCTGCTCCTCAAGAGATGGGAAACATAAATTGAAAGTTGAGTATGGCCAGAGTCGGGGGCAGCGAGGCTACAGGTTGCAGGGCTTCAGAAAGCAGTTACTATTAGTTATTGTCTGGATTCCCTCTGTGTGTGTGTGTACACGCATGCACGCACGGGCATGTGTGCACCAGTCCTGGGGCTTGAACCTAGGGTTTGGCACTGCTCCTAAGCTTTTCTACTCAAGGCTGGCATTCTATCACTTTACCCACAGCTCCACTTTTGGCTTTTTGGGGAGTTAATTGGAGATAAGAGTCTCACAGACTTTCCTGCCCGTGCTGGCTTCAAACCACAATCCTTAGATCTTAGCCTCCTGTTGCATAGCTGGGATGACAGGTGTAAGATTCTGGTGCATAGCAACTGTCACATTTCTTTTTTTACTGATGAGGCAGATAAATTGAGTGTGCTTGATTCCCAGCCCCATTTTCTCTCTGATTAGATGGTGATATAAAGATGCACGGAATTTTCATAAACGTACATTTACACAGGATAAAAGTGACAGCTGTCCAATTACAGCGTGTTTCCTCATTCCAGGTCTGTCAGGAACGCCAGGGCCACAGCTTTGCATAGCAGACTGTCCTTGGCAGAACTTGCATCCTGATTTCCTGACAGACTTGAAGCCAGTTGCAGATATCAGGATATTGAACAGATTTTGTCCCAACCTTCTGATTGATTGTTTTCTGCATCTTCATGGCTTACTGCCATGGGGGAAATAAATGCAAAGCTAAGCTACGAAGCCATGCCCTGCAGATTTGCCTGTCTGCGGGGAATTCTGTCCTTCCGGCAGTAATGTAAGAAGTTTGTCATCTCCATACGGCAGTCCATAACTCAAAAGCTATCTGTCTGTTACCACTCAATTAAGAAACCACAGAAGCATGTCGGCCACAGATGACCGACGAACAGCCAGAATGGAAATTCTGCCCAAGTCCTGAAAACTCCACCAGAATCAATCTGCCATCAGGGAAAGCATGATTCATGAACGCATTCTTTATTCCTATCGAGTCATGAATCGATGTGCCCCCCCCTTCAGCGCTAATGCAGGGTCAGGACCAGGGGAAACTTCTTACAAGTCTCCTCAAACAAGAGCATGGACTTTAGACGTAATTTGGGGTGCGTGCAGCAGCTGCCCTACCGTGGAGGGAGCCCGTGGGGCCTGGGCGTGGGGAGGACTGCTGTTCGTCTTACAGATGAGCTGAGACGCTGAGAGGTCCTCCAGACAGAACCAAACCCGCGTCTGCAGGGCTGCAGGCTGTGGGGCAAGGCTGTGCCCATGTGGGGGCCCGAGCCGTGTGGTCCATGTGGGTTTCTTACCCTCTTGGGCCACTTGTTGACAGAAAGTCCCTAGGACCTGGGCCCATGGGGAGGATTGGGAGGGGCGGGGAGGAGAGGGCTCCAGCGCTGGACGGCCCCTGCGCTCCCCTGCACCCAGCCTCCTGCACGTCCCTCTGCCTCCTCCCCGGCTCTTACCCTCAGCCACACAAGGAGGGCACATTGAGGCTCACAGCACCCCACTTTCCAGGGAGGTCCCACCACCGCTGCTCACCAGGTGTCCTCTGATCTGGTTCCCACCAGGAAGCAGCACCCCCACCCCACACCCCACCCCACCCCCACCATATCCCTGAAGTTTCAGTGACCAGACCCGGCCAGCGCCCCACTCATCCCGCTCACCCCGCTCACCCCGCTCACACCACTCACCCCACTCATACCACTGGAGTCCAGGACAGAGGTCCTAACCATCCGAATGCCTTTCTTCTTAGTGGGGTTTGAACTCTGGGTCTTGTGCTTGTTAGACAGACACTCTCCTGCTTGAGCCCCATTTCCACCCTCAGGCTTCCTGCTTTGGAGACAACCCTCGCCCTGTCATGGACATCCTCTTATAAACCTGCCACGTGGCCAGCGGTGCCCTATTCAGGATCCTATTCTGGCGGTGGGGACAGTCCCTGTCCCTGGGACTGGGAGGTCCCTTGTACAGTAGCCGTGTACGTCTGTCCTCTTCTCAGATCTCTGCTGTGTTAAGCATCCTCGTCTGGTAAATGTTATGCTGGGACCTTAACGATAAATGGCAAGCCACCGTCAGGAGCGAAGGCTGCCGTCCCAGCCCACCAAGTGGTGACTGACCAGTGGCCACGAATGCGCCCATCTCCACCAATGCCATCGCATGAGGCGTGAGATTCCAGCATAGACAAGCAGCTGCCAGCTTGTGTCAGAATTGCCCAGTGTTCATTCCAGAATAATCCCGTTTATAGATAGCATTTAGCATCCACCAAACAATGCCAAGTGCTCTCTGCCCTGCCAGCTCCCAAGGCAAGGCTGGTGTCACAGAGAGGGCACGGGGCCCAGAACAAGCAGTCACGTCCACACCCCCTCTCCCCCCCCCCCCCCCCCCCCCCGGGCCGTACGATTGGAGGGACCGGCAAGGATGCGCAGGGCACCCGGCCCAGCATTTCCAGCCTCAAGGCCTAGCATGGCAGTGCCTGCGGCTCCCGGCCTCTGCGTGGCCGTACGGCTTCCCCTGCCTGGATCATGCCTCCTTGGCAGTTTGCCTCTGACCACGTGGCAGCCTGAAGTGGAAACTTCGGGGAGCAACTCCTGAGTTTTCATCATGTGCCCGTGAGTGACATGAAGTGTCATCTGATGCCAGCCTCGGAGCCCGTGGCCCCGTGGCATCCCCGGGTGCTGTCTCACCTCGAGCCTTGCCCACCCCGCTCTTTCTCCAAGGCCCCTGAGTCTTTTTCTTTCCTGAGAGAACGGTTTCTAGGAACCCAGGTCTGAGCCCAGTGCCAGCACTGGCTGCTGGGTGGGCCCTCGCAGGAAGGTGGACACCAGTAATAAACACCCACTCCTGAGCCACCTGCAGGCCACGCTCAGCCATCACCCGCCTGAAGCCGTACCACGCAGCCCCGGGCCTGGGGCTTGAACGCAGAGCCTGGGCTGCCCCTGAGCGTCTTCACTCAAGGCTGATGTTGTACCACTTGAGCCACACCTCCACTTCTGGCTTTTGGGTGGTTAATTGGAGATAAAGAGTCTCACAGACTTTCCTTCCTCGGCTGGCTTTGAACCACAATCCTCACATTTCAGCCTCTTGAGTAGCTGGGATTACAGGCGTGAGCCACTGGTGCCTGGTACCATGTAGATTTTTTTTAAGCCTCCTCTCCTTCCCAGAAATTGTTCTTGTATTTTTTATTGAGCTATATATAATCCATAACATTTGTCATTTTTACAAATACAAAGCAATTTTAATATATTCAGAAAGTTACCACCCTCACTACTTACAGACCATTCTACTCATTTCACAAAGAAACCCTCTGACTGGCAGGTTTCCCCACGCCCCGGCCTCCAGTGACAGCCTACTTCTTGTTCCCCCTGGACCTTGCAGGACCTCACACTTCTCAGCCTTCTGCACCGTCCTGTAGGTATTAGCAGTGCTTTGTTACTTTGTTACTTTTGGTGCCTGAATATGATTCCATGGTGTAGGGAGACCACACTTTGTTCCTCCATGATCAGCAGGTGGGGATTTTGGGCTATGGTGAACGCCGAGGGCGGCCATAAGCACGCCCATGCAGGTGTTTACATAAGCATCTTCCTCTCTCCCACGTAAGTTTCACCTACACTGAAGTTTCTGGGTGCTGGCAGGTACAAGTCACATTTGGGGGAAGTGCCAGTGTTTTCCAAACAGCTGTCCCATGTTGCCTTCCACTCCCTGCCCTATGCCAGGCTCTAATCTCTCCAAAGCCCCGTAGATGCCCCTTACCAACCCCGTGTTTCCTAGGGGCCCCAGTGGGTGTGAAGTGCTGTCTCATAGTGGGTCCGGCTGGCTTCTTCCTGGCAACTCACAGTCCGCAGCAGATTTCATTGTTCAAGTCTTTGGCCTGGCTGATTACTGAAGTACCATTTGGCCAGGAGTCTGAACGTTCAGCCCCATCAGCTGCCGTGAATCATCTGTTCTGTGGTGGTTTTCTTCCCTCCTTTCTACCTCCCCCTCTCTCCCTAGCTCTCCCTCTCCGCTTTTCTTCCCCTGCTTGCCTAATTTTCCTCCCTCCTTCCCTCCCTCCCTCCCTTCCTCTGTCTCCCTTCTTTCATTTCTTTCTCCCTTTCTCCTTTCTTCCTTCCCTCCCTCCCTGTCTCTATTCCTCCCTCTTTCCTTCTCTTCCAAGTAAGAACACAAGACCCTAGTTCAAGACCCAGTACCAGCCTGGTGCATGTGTGAACTGTCCTGGAGCGATCGAGCAGTCCCTGCGCTGCCTTTCTGCCACCCCCGATGCTGCTTGTGTCGCGTATCATGTTGCCGTTCACAGCGCGCACACAGGGGCCCCCATGCCTTCCGTGGAGGCCCCGGGCCCTCATGTCTCTCCCCCTTCCCCGCAGGTATCAAAGCCGTGTTCTCTGGCCACTACCACAGGAACGCGGGGGGCTCCTACCAGAGCCTGGACATGGTGGTGTCCTCTGCCATCGGGTGCCAGCTGGGCACAGACACCCACGGGCTCCGCATCGTGGTGGTCACAGCAGAGAAGATCATCCACCGGTACTGCAGCTTAGACGAGCTGACCGAGAAGGGCCTCGGGGGCGACCTCCTGGAGCTGCTGCGGGAGTGACCTCAGCCCGGCCCCTCGCTCCTCCGCACCAGCTGCTCCCAGAGCTTGGCCTGCCCGGACCAGCGGCCGCCACAGCCCCCGGCCGCCAGGAGACACGGGCCAGGCAGGCCTGCTTTTGTACCCTTGTGCATAAATCACAGCGCCAGCTCTCATCCTAGATGACGGCCTAAGTTATATCCGAAATCAAACTGCCTAACCCGTGATAAGGAGAAAGGTCTGGAAATACCTTAACTGTGCCAACCTCAGACTCACTGCCTGATCTTTTGGGGAACCCCTCCGCTCCTGGGGATGGGGGGGCGTTCTCTCAGCCCATGATTCAGGTCTGCTGTCCGCCTCCGTAGCAGCCTGACATCGAGTGCGTCTCTTGCAGTTCTTCCAAATAAACTCTTGAGATTGTGCTGCGTGTGGTTGTGGCTCCGTGCAGCAGCCCTGCCAGCCGCCCATCTCCCCTCAGCCCCGCACGGTGACCGGGAGCCAGCCCGTCTGTCCTGGGCAGGGGGAGGAACAGAAGCAAAAGGAGCTGCACACGTCAGGACTGGAGGTAACAGACGGGGTTCTCATGGAACCCCCCCCCCAGTTATGAGCCTTTGAACTGTCTCTGCTTACAGAAAATATATGGAATGGTGCAGACATCTAGAAAGCAAGCACACGGGATTGCTGGGGGCCAGGCCGGCGCAGCGGGGCCCGGCCTACGCTGTGTTGAGGGCCCCCGACCCCCTCCGAGGAGCCAGGGCTGCTGCCCTTCTGACCATGTGACCCCCTCATCCAGCCGTCCAGCACTGGACCCGGCAACTGGGGACGTTTCCTAGCATTGACAGCCACGAGTCCTGACCCCCCTGCCAGCACTGGCGGCTTACAAATGACCCACAGCCACTACACTGAAAAAACAAAACCCCCTTGTTAAAAACTCTTCGTGTAGCAAAACTGTGAGAAATTAAATAGGAAGATAATTGGATATGCTAAATTCCTAAGGAACAAAGAGGAGAGCTAATTATTCTAGAGTGGTGACACACCAGAGCTCATTGGTATGTGGCCCAAGGAAATTCACTTTCCCCACAGCCGGCGTGCCGTCCTGAAGTGTTGTTTTGCGTTTGGATGTGGAAGATCGGATGAAGCAGCGGGCGGCTGGCTGGGCACCGCGCTGCCGTGGTCTCGTGGGTGTGACCCACAGCCGTGACTAGGGAGAAAGACCAAAGCCACGCTGTCCTGTTCCACAGCAAGTGCTCTGCACCATGACGCTTGGGTTGGAAGGATGCGGGGATGATCAGAAGTGACAGAAATAGGAGCTGGGCACCAGTAGCTCAGGCTGTAATCCTGGCTCAAGGAGGCTGAGAATGGGAGGATTTCTGTTTAAGGCCCACCAGTCCCAGCAGAAAAGTTTGTGGGACCCCTAGCTCAACCCATAGCCAGGTGCAGTGGTGTACACGTACACCCAGCATCCCAAGCTACGTGTGAAGCTGACATGGGAGAACCACAGTTCCAGGTCAACCCAGGCAGAAAAGGCCGAGGCCCTCTGTCTCGGCTGGAGGAGGTGGTGGCACACCTGTCAGCCCAGCAATGACAAGAAACTAAAATAGGAGGATCACAGTTCCTCAGGAGCACCAGACAAGGAGCAAGACCCTACCAAAGACAGCCAGCCGAAAACAGGACTGGAGACGCCTGCATAGCAAGCCCAAAGCCCTGAGAGCAAACCCCAGTACTGCAGAAAAGGACAAAAGGTAGTGGAAAAGAAACCAAGGCAGTCCCTTTCCCAAAGAATGTCTAATGCAGGTTGATTCAAAACACCCCCCAAATATGCCCACCTTTTAGTTTGTTTTATGGTGCTGGGAATTGAACCCACGTCCTTGTACATGGTAGGCCAGCATTCTACCACTGAGCTATATCCTAGCTGCCATCATCTTAGGCCACAAAGTATTGTCTTGTGCATACGTACACACGCACATGCACAAATGCAAACGATGGTAAGAGGCTCACAATGAAGCTGGAAAATGTATGTGCAGATGAACTTGTGCCCCCGGATAATGATTTGTTGTTAATGTATCCACCAGGACTCCTTGGTCTTTTTAAAATGAAAAAAAAAAAGCCCTCACACCTGTCATCCTAGCTGCTCAGGAAGCCAAGATCTGAATATCGTGGTTCAAAGCCAGCCCAGGCAGGAAAGTCCATGAGACTCTTATCTCCCAACTACCTACCAGAAAACAAGTGGGGTTGTAAACCAGAGTGGTAGAGCACTAGCCTGGAGTGGAGGAGCTCAGGGACAGAGCCCAGGTCCTGAATTCAAGCCCCATGACTGATAAAATGACAAAAGATGATTTAGTCTTTGTTCTGTAAGAAGCAATAAAGGAGTGAGAGCAAGCCCCGTGGTTGTGAGTGGCTCTTTTGTGAGTTTCAAGTGGCTCCCGGTCGCCAGCATTTGGTGGGGATGGGAAGACCAGGGTGCATCGGCTGCATCCAGAGCATGGGGCCCTCCCCCGTGCTGCACATCCTTCCCCATGCTGAGAGGCGGGCACCGCGCCACCACCTATGCCTGACGGTTGGCAGCACCAGGGCCAGCTGGGTGTCGTGGTCCCATCCGGAGGCCGAGAAGCCCTGGCGGGGCCCAGGTCCAGGAAGTGACGCTGATGGAGCTGTGTCCCCGGCTGGAGGGCACTGACCCTTACTCCGGCATGGGTCTGGAATACCGCTGGACACAACTGGACCTCCCAGGGCTGGTAACTCGGTCCCCGGTGTGGCCAGGCCTAGAAGGGGCTGGCAGAGGATCCAGGTCTCAGCAGGGCATGACTCCTTCCTGCCTGGCCCCAGCCGGACTCTGGTGTCCTGGCTTGTGGTGTGATTTCTCCATCCTGACACCGTCCACCATGGAGCCTTCACGGAGCAAAGCTGCTGGCCACACCTGCCTGGAAGCCCCAGAACCGGGAGCTAAATGAACTTCTCTTTACAGCCCAGCCTCAGATACGTCATTATGGTCACGAAAACAACTAGTGTGCTTTGTTTACACTTCCCACCCCAGTGTGTCCCTTTTCTCCCCTTTTCCAAGGGATTCATTGGATTAGAAAACAGACTGCTGGAGAGCGACGGGTCTTGGGGATGGCCTCGAACTGGGTTGCTAGGGCACAGATGAGGGAGGGAGGGCCATCTAGCCTCATCTGCTCGTATGAAAGGCAAGTTTACCTTGAATCTTCAGCCCTGCTTCTCCCACGCTGGGGACGCGAGAGGGGAGATCCGTCCCGCGCAGCCAGCGAGCAGAATGTGTTGTCCCATCTGGATTCCCCACGTCATGCAGTCCCCGGCCACTGCTGCAGGTACAAGCCCGACACTGGCTGCAAGCCTGAACGCGTGAGCCGGGCCAGGGCCTGCTCGCCTTGTATAAGACACTGAGACGCGTGCTGCGGAAAAGCGACGCACACGTAGCAGCTTAAAGTCGCAGCCTGCAGTCTGACATGCTCGGAGGAAAGAGAGAAACATCATTTGCATTTACTCGAAGCCACCACACGCACATGCACGCCCCTAGCGGGACACACAGCTCCATCTGGAGTCACAAAGCTAAGAAGGGTGTACTGAGTGGGGGGGGTCCTTTCAGAGACACCCCAGATTTCTTAGACAACCTTAGTAGTTTGGTTGCATCTGCAAGAGACAGAATCTCACAAGCAATATTGTTTGTAACTTTGTAAAATGCGGTCATGTGCCCCAGGGGAACTCGCGTGTGTGTGTGTGTGTGTACACACACTGCATGTATGTATATGTGTGCACACAATACAAAATTTGGGACTCTTGGAATAATACTCCTAGAATTTTTCTAGAAGTTTTACCGACCAAATCTCTTTTGCCTCCATTGAATTTTTATCTCCATACTTCAACGTTGATTTCACACACACACACACACACACACACACACACTGGATTTCTTCCTTTAGGCTTTAGGTATGTAAATACTTTGAATAATCACACTGCTGCTTGTTATTCTGTTCTCACAGCTGCCTTTGCAAACTCAGCTTCCTCGTTTATGGCCTCTGCCCCTCTCAGTGAAGTCCTTTCTGGACCTCCCGGCCTCCTCCACTCTGCCCATGTGCGCCTGCCCCACCACCACCTTCCTCCCCATCCCGCCGGTCCCGGCCTCTGCCCTGGCCATCTGTCTGCTTCTCATCGTCATTTGGTTCCTGGGTGGAAATGATGTCACTGAGTGGGGGATGAGGTCACCAAGTGGAGATGACGTCACAGGCAGGGCAGCAGAGGCTTCCGGACCTGAGCCAAGATTTGTCCTTTGACCCCAGCACACAGCCCTTGGGAGCACCCCCAGATCACCCCGTGGGTATCTTGCCTGGTGTCCCAGAGCTGAGTAGCATGACCACGTCCTGTGCCAGGACCCCACTGCCCCCTGCCAGCCCTGAGAGCAGACACACGGCTGAAGTTCGTCTCTGACAACAGCAGTGTATCTACCGCATTCTTCAGTTCACTAAAGTTTTTTTTTTTTCCTTCCCTCTCTTTTCTCCAAGGAATTGTAGCAGTGAAGGCGCACAGTCCTGACGGAGCCCAGCAGAGGACTCGGGCTCGTCTCCCACCTGTGGGGACCACAGGATGGAAAGAAAGTTCCAGTAGCTGTATTTATTTCTGCTAGCGTAACCGGGCAGTGGAGACTAAAGGCTGATGTCATGTCTAATTAGCAGAGGCCTCTGCTCTCTGTCACACACGAGTGTGGCATGGTGGGGAGCGTCTTTATGCCCGTCTCCCGTGGAGATGCTCTAATTAACTGCTTAGGAAAACAAGCTTTCTGATGTTGTGTAGGTGATTTGTCAACATCTCCCCAACAGGGCGGACCATTGCAAACACCCTTGCTGAGCTTTTCTGAAAGCTAAGACGGGTTTCTGGGGAACTGGCTTTCGAGACGTGCCCAGGCCCCTGACCCATCCCGGCTCCGGCCGGGGCATTGGAAGGCTCTGATTATTTCCCAGGCCCCTGAACCATCCTGGCTCCAGCCAGGGCATTTGAAGGCTCTGATTATTTCCCAGGCCCCTGAACCATCCCGGCTCCAGCCAGGGCATTTGAAGGCTCTGATTATTTGCTTTGAGATATATATTTTTTTGGTCACGCATCAGACATGGTGGTTAAAGCAATAATCATTGTGCCTCTGAGTACCATTTATTACCATAAGGGCGAACAGGTCAATACCAAGCCAAGAATGACGGCTGCAAAGGGCGTGATCTGTGGGAGGCACTGAGCTGTGTGGGAAGCGGCGTGAAGGG